GAAAAGAGACGAGCATCTTATTATTTATAAGAGTTGATCTAGTAAAACACAAGTCGGTTATTTTCTTATGAGAAGAAGAGATCGTCGTGATTGTAAAGTTTGTAAGGTCATTCTAAGTGAAAATTTAAGTACCTAACAACGTTTATTAGTTCTAGATTTTAAGATTAAGAGTTGTTAAATAAAGAATACTAGAACTCATCATCGTAGAATTAGATGGATAAACTTAAAAGACACAAATAAATTTATTTTTATGAAGAAAATTCAGGAATTCAAAATTTGGGTTATTCATGAAGAAGCAAATGTTATGTGGGATAAAATAATAAACATTATTAAACAAGTAGCAAAATATGGCTTGGAGAATCCAAAAGAAAAAGTTTCTATAAATAAAAATTGTTGATGGTGGAATAATAATTTGCAAGAAAATATAAAATATAAAAAGTTGTGATATGAAAATTGATTTAAATGTAAAAGCTTTGGAGGACTGAGAAAAACATTAAACGGCCCGCAGGGGGTCTAAAAACAATCTTTGATGCTAAAAATTCTGCTTTTAGTGATTTTTATAATAAATTAAATATTAAGGAGGGTGAAGTCTGTATGTATAAACTAGCCAAACAAGGAGAAAAGAAACGTAAAGATTTAACTCAAGTAAAGTGTGTTAAAGATGAAAATCAGAAGTGTTTTTCTTAGAAAAAAGATATTCAACATAGGTGAGTGAGTTATTTTGATAAACTTTTTAATGAAATTTCCGAAAATACGATTGACCTTAGTGATCTTAATATCATTAATAATCATAGAACATTTCATTTTTACCGCCAAATTAGTAAAAAAGGAATTGAGGAGGCTTTAAAAGAAAACCAAGGGTGGGAAGTCTGTAGGATTTGATGATATCCCAATTGAAGTGGAAATATTTAGGAGATTTGGGATATCATTTAGAGAAAAAATCTTGGCTTACTAAAATCTTTAATATTATTTTAAAAACTAAAGAGATGCCTGAGGAGTGGAAGAAGAGTGTTTTGGTCCCCATTTTTAAGAATAAAGGTGATACACAAGAGTGTGCAAATTATAGAGGAATTAATTTGATGTGTCATACTTTAAAATTATGAGAGAGGATCATTGAACTAGGTTAAGACGTATTACAAAGATTTCTCATAATCAATTTGGATTTATAGCGGGCAGGTCTACCATGGAAGCTATACATTTTTTGAGAGGTTTGATGGAGAAATTCAGAGATAATAAGCAGGATCTACATTTGATTTTTGTTGATATAGTAAAAGCTTACGATAAGGTTCCGAGAGATATCCTTTGGAGAGTCCTTGAGAAGAAAGGTGTTGGGATGACTTATATTCAAGTCATTGAAGATTTGTATACTTGAGCTGTTACTTGTGTTCGAACTGAAGGAGGACTGATCAAATATTTTTCTATTTCTGTTGGATTACGTCAAGGATTGGCTTTAATCCGTTATCTTTTTGTTTTAGTTATGGATGGTCTTACTAGACATTTACATGATGATGTAACTTGGTGTATGCTTTTGCTGATGTTATCCTTTTCGTGGATAAGACAAGAGAAAAAACTCAAGAAAAACTTGAATTATGGAGGTCTACATTGGACTCTAAAGGCCTTTTTTCAGTAAAACTAAAACTGAGCACATGGAATGTAATTTTAGCAGTAGCAGCTCTAGTGACAGAAGTGTAACTTTGAGTGATCAATTTATTATAAGGTGTGAACGATTTAAATATCTCGGGTCTGTTGTTCAAAGCGATGGTGTATAGATGGAGATGTTAATAGTAGAATTCAAGTTGGTTGGTTGAAGTGGAGGAATGTTTCAAGCCTTTTGTGTGATAGAAAAGTAATGCTTGGATTGAAAGGAAATTTTATAAGATGGTGGTGAGACCTACAATGCTCTATGGCACTTAATGTTGGCCTTTAAAAGAGAAGCATAATACTAAGTCAAGTGTTGCGAAGATGAGAATGATTAGGTGGATGAGTGGCTTTACACTTAGAGAAAAAATGTGAAATGAATATATTCGTGATAGGGTTGGTGTAGCCTAGTGGCGGACAAAATTAGAGAAAGTCGTCTTAGATGGTTTGGTCACATTAAACGTCGACCATCCGATGACTTGATTAGGAGAGTAAATGTTTTAGATTCGTCTTATGTTCTGAAAGGAAGAGGTAGACCTAGGAAGACTTGGGCTTATTGTATAAAATCAGAATCTAGAATGATTGGGTGGATGAGTGGCTTTTCACGTAGAGAAAAAATGTGAAATGATTAATTCGTGATAGGGTTGGTGTAGCCTAGTGACAGACAAAATTAGATAGAGTCATCTTAGATGGTTTGGTCACATTAAACGTCGACCATCCGATGACCCGATTAGGAGAGTAAATGTTTTAGATTCAACTTATGTTCGGAAAGGTAGAGGTAGACCTAGGAAGACTTGGGCTTATTGTATAAAATCAGAATCTAGAATGATTGGGTGGATGAGTGGCTTTACACTTAGAGAAAAAATGCTCTATGGCGTTGGATGTTGGCCTTTAAAAGAGAAGCATAATACTAAGTGTTACCGAGATGAGAATGATTAGGTGGATGAGTGGCTTTACATATAGAGAAAAAAATGCGAAATTAATATATCCGTGATAGGGTTGGTGTAGCTCCTTTGACGGAAAAAATTAGAGAGAGTCGTCTTAGATGGTTTGGTCACATTAAACGTCGACCATCTGATGACCCGGTTAGGAGAGTGGATGTTTTAGATTCGACTTATGTTAAGAAAGGCAGAGTAAACTTAGGAAGACTTGGGCTTATTGTATAAAAAATATTCTTAATTTATTAGAATTAAATGAAAATATGACACTAAATTGGATGCAATGGAGAAAAAGGATTCATGTAGCATACCCCACATAGTGGGATTAAAGCTTTGTTGTTGTTGTTGTTGTTGTTGTTGTTCTATTCGAGTTACAAGAAAGATAAAAATGACCTAATAACACTCACATTACAACACACTAAAAAACAAAATAACTAAAAAACTATAGTTTCTCTTCCCCAAAAAAAGGAAAATACAAACATAAAAAATAAAACACAGGACAAAAACAAAATAAAAGCTAACAAACAATATCTTTCAAAGCTAATTCCATCAGAATAGGGGGAACACACATAGAAATCATAGCACCATGCATCTTCAAGCCACATTTAGCCGCCCAATGAGCAACCATATTTCCTTATCTCTTGGTATGAGACCACTTGATAATCAAATTCTTGAAAAGAGCAAAAATCATTTTCATCTGAATATTGACGCTCCAATAATGATCAATCTGCATTTGACAACACTTCTAAAGAATCAAAGAGTCAGTTTCAAGAATAATGTATTTCCAACCAAACCTCACAGTCATCTGTAGACCAAAAACTAAAGCATCGGCTTCAGCCACCAGTAGGGAAGCAGAAAAAGCACCAGCCAAAAACCAACAAATAATAGAGCAACCAACAAATAATAGCAAAAAATCTCTACAAACACCTCCTACACTAGCAAATAAGGAATTTCAGCAGCCGTATATTAATTTTAATAAAAGGTGCCCACTGTTTAAGCCACTTCACAGCAGAAAAATTTGTATTATGCACTGAATTAGGAATAGCCAACAACTGCAACAAATCTATCATATTATTCGAAAGCTTCTCATTAAGAGGCAGTAATCTCAATTCTTTATACAAGTAATCACCATACTAACAGTACGATGTACATTTTAAATTGTTTTTCGCCCCATATTAGGCAAGTTTTTATTAGAGAGTTTTTTACATATTCTCATATAATATAATTCCACTGAATGCTTATTTTACTTTGAATTTATTAATTACCAAATAAAAAAAGTCAAATTTTATGTAATTATTTTACTTTACATTTATTTTACATCAAACCAAACAAATCCTAAATAGAAACTTAGAAAGACAAAATGAGTTAAAATGAGCATTTTGAGCTGCGTGACCATATAGGTTTTCAAGAGTAAATTTTTCAACTTTATTTAAAACTTTTTAAAATAAAATTTTTAATTTTAAATTGGTTATATTATTCTAATAATTAAGGTTCAAAAATGTTCATCTACATTACTAATTGAGTTTGGGCTCAACACAATTAGGCTAAATGAGCAGCGGTGTCTGCAAGCATGGAAAACCTAAATCGGACTTGAGCTTGGGCGAGAAAGGAATAAAAAAAATGTGCATTCGGCGAAATCCAAAACACTCTTGATCAAACAACAGTCTAATTTTCAAGTCCTGTAAGATTTAAAGTTTTCTTTGTTCTCAACTTATTTGAGGGACTAATTTTCTCCAATTTGGATTGGTTGTGCTAATAGAAGAGAGGTTGAGATGAGGTTTGGAGATACAGATAAATTGTTTGTTGGTGTTTGAAGTAAGAGGAGATGAGGAAGCCTTGGATTGCTTTTATTGGGTTTGTTACATAGTTCGTTGAAGAATATACTCGTTCTTTTTGTTGGGGATAGCTTTCATCTTGCATTCACATGAGTTTAGATCGTTTTTGTCTTACATTTCCTATTTTGTTTCTGTTAGCTAGTTTGATTTTACATGTATTATATATCATGCACTTAATTATGTATTTTTATGACTAAGCTACTTGAGCCGCTATGTAGATCCCTCTTAAAGTGCTATACACTTGTTTCAGCAAAATTTTTTTCATTTTTTCGCTTATCTCAAGCCTCGATAAAAATAGTTTATGTATAGAAAATGAAAAAGACTAACACTTGTAAATGAAGGTATCAAGGTCTTCATTTTGAGAGATTAAATAATCTTTTAATGTTATATAAGTTTGGAAGAGCAACCGTGAATGTTGTCGAAGGCGGTGGTGACTGGAGTTGGTCGGAGGCGGCGACGACAGTGGTTGGAAGATTCGATGATGAAGGCGGCCCAAGGCAGCGACAACGACGGTGGCCAAAAGTGGTGGCGACATAAGGCAGCAATTAGAAGAGGCGACGACAAAGGCTGCTCGACATGGCTGCGGTGGTCAAAAGAGGCGGGGGCTCAAGCTTGCAGCTGCAAGCGAAGTTGACCAAATCTGTAATGCAAGATGCATGGCAGCAGCTCTCCCTTCTGCAGACTCTGGACTTACTCTTGCCTCAAGGTCTCGGTCCCCTTTCAAGAGGGATTTGGGGCTCTATTTATAGAGTCCAAATTACACATATGGAAGAAATCCAAAACACGAGAGATCCCCTTGATCAGACGACATTTGACGAAAATTTGTCTGCCTTAACAAAATCAGAATCGAGCGGTCTTAGACTCATTAGATTTGTCTTGTCGAGACACTCGATTTTGACTATAAACATGTCATATTAGACTTCTGTTTGACCTTCCAAATATATCTGAAAAGCCTCTAAAAATGATTAAATGACTTGATTTGGGCTTGATTCAACTTGGATTGGACTGATTTTTGCACAGTTTGGTCCGTCTAAAGTTTGAACGTCCCTTGCCCAAAAATTTTGTTTTGAGATCTCTGTCACGCCTCGAGATCCGTGTTGGATGTTAGAAATTTGTTGAAGGCGTGCCAAGAAATAAACTAGATAATGTGTTTTTTGACATCTTTTTTGTCCTTTTTTTTAACCTTCATTTTAAACAAACACATTTCAAAAAAGAAAACTGTTTTTCATGTTAAACTTTATGATCCAAATTCTACTTGGTTTGGACTAAAAAACCTATGATAAAATATATGTGATGTCACATAAACTAAGAGAAAAAATCTTAGGGATCTGTGTTGGTGGCTATAGATTAAGCCATCTATGTTCTTGAAAAGAAATTAGCTACACATGCTAACTCCTCTTACAAAAAGCCAACCCAAACATCTCTTCATTCTCCCAAAAGTGAAAAAAATTGCCTTGCAAATGAGTTTGTTAGGCTTTTGATAGGGTTAAAAAACAAACATCGAATTTGTCATTCAAATGGCCATGTGGTTTTATGGACTGTAATTTTGTTAGCCTTATCAAAGGAGACCTATGCCTGCTTTTAATTTATTTGTAACATTTATTAGGGTAGTAAGTGAGTCAGACTAACTCGCGAGCCGGCTTGAGCTCGGCTCTAGAAGTGGCTCGTGTAGCAAATTAAGCTCAAGCTAGCCCCGTCTCGTCTCATTCCCTCGTGAGCTGGCTCATTTAATAAAATATTAATATAAAATAAACTCAGTATCTGTTGAATTTGAAAACTTGATATTTAAAATATTTAAAATATATTATTTTGTATTTTATATTAATTAATTTTTTATTATTTCTCTCATAATTATTTATTTTA